GAAATTTCTCAAATATGTGGTGCTGAGTTACAAATGGTTTTAGTCTTTCAGACACACAAAACAAGAAAATAAAACTTCAAGGAAAGGGCCACATCAGTCACTCATAACTGTGGACCTGCACCCATCTGTCCCACCAAGGGCCTTCATCTAAGAATAGTGGGATAAGGTTTATGCTGCTGTCTTGCATCTTGAGATTTGGTGTGGTCTTGTGAAATAGTTGGAGTTCTGTCCTCACACTGGTAAGTCCAGGTGTCCATTCCAGGAGGCCAATACTCTAGTGTTTGCCTGTGCCATGTGTGGGTTTATGAGTTACACATCCTCCTTCTTTTCTAAAAGCTTTTTTTTTAGAAAGTGTTTTACTCGGTATCTCTCACTGGCCTGGAAATCACATTCTCTTGTTTCTGAATCCCAGTGCTGGGATTAAAAGTATGCACCATGCCTCTGGGGCTGGATTTACAGGAGGCTGTGAGTCACCTGATATGGATACTGGGAATCGAACTCACATCCTATGGAAGAGGAAACAGTGCTTTTCACTCCTGAGCCATCTCTCCAACCTCCACATCCTCCATCCTTGGTGTTGGAAAATTGTCTTTCCCAGTCCCGCTCCACAAGATGCTTCTAGTCTCATGGCAAGGATTTAGTCAAGAACAGAAACATGATTGAATGTCCCATCATAAGTGGAACAGCTACATCTCTCTATGAGCCTGGGGGCGGGGGAGGCCTCCTCAAGGAATATTTTAGAAGACATGGGTGTTTTGTAGGGTGTCGGGTTCCTGTGGGTCTGTGGAAGAAACAGGGCCACTCATGGATGAATTTTAGTCTTTACAGCTGTAAGGGAGTCAACCTGGGGTGAACTAACTGACTCTGGCTTTGCAAAGGGGCTTTTATTGTTATACAATTTACACATTTAGCAAGTCCATTTTCTCATAACAAAACCTCTTATCTGAAGCTCCCCAAAGAGACAAATGCCAAAGCAATTCCCAAGGTATGGGACATATCAGTTTTCTGAGTCCTCCCATAACCAAGTGTTGCATAGGCTTCCAACCTTTAGGAAACTCTCAGATAAGATTTACATACATCAAACAGAAGGTACAGAACACAAGGGGAAGCAATCACAAAGGCAGATCAAAGCTAGGTGCTAGTACTCAGGAATCAAAACAGCTACAGAGCACTGCAGGAACTCTCCT